TCTAGATATATTTGGGAATTAGCAAAGAGATTTATTGACATTATTTATAATAGATAGAGTTAAAAGTCATAAGATTGAATGAGATTACCAAGGGAGTATAGATAGGTAAGAAATGAGGTTACTGAACTGAGCATGGTTCATTATAAGATTGAGAGAGAAAAGGAACCACCATGAAGACTGAGCAACAGTGGCAAGGGAATAAGACAAAAACAAAACAACAACAACCACAACAATGGTTGCCCTGGAAGCCTAAGGAAGATAATTTGTCAAGGAGAAAAGAGTTATCAACAATGTCAATTATGACTGAGCACTGAATGTTGGATTTACTGACAGAAATTTCATTGGTGACAATGAAAAAGCAGTTTCAATCAAGAGATGAGAGTGGAAGACTGAATGGCATAGGTTCAAGAGAAAGTTAGAATAAGGAGAATAGAATCTGAAAATATAAATACATCCTCTAAACTATTTTACTATAAAGGTAACTACAGAAATGGGGTAGTAGGTGTCTGGGGAAATGGGGTCAAGATAAGTTTGTTTGTTTTCAATGGGAGAAATAACATCATTTTGTATGACAAAAAAAGTGATTTAGTAGAGATTAATGATATAAGTGAGATGGAGAGGAATTGCTAGAGCAATGTGCTTGAGTAGGTGTAATCAAGGTTACAAGTGTAAGTATTAGCTTTTGATAGGAATGTAAACAGCTAATCTGTAGCAAGAGGCAAACAGAGCACGGCAGTACATCTGTGGTGAGATGTTGCAAGAGCCTGTGGAAATTCTTTTGATTACTTAAGTTTGTGAATTCACAATCACAATAAGGTTGAGGATGGTATAAGAGGCGTTAAACAGAGGAACAAGTATCAAAGAGTCATCTAGAAGAGTGGGCCAATGAGTGGATTAAGAAAATATAGAATGATTGCAGGACAGCATTAAAATCAACTGGAAGTTTATGATCAAGAATTTAAAGTAGAATTATCGTGGTTGTATATTTTCCCTCAGCCACATTAAGCTGCACAGGTGCAAGGTTGAGGTAGCAGGGAGTTGTGTTTAAACAGAGTTGTGGTTTTTGTCAAGTGAGTGTGATGAAGAAGGAGAGAGGCAGGGAAATTGAGGTGTAAGTAAGATAGTTTTATAATGATTGATCCTAGGATTAAAACTGGTTAAAGACAGAAGAAAGGACATCAATGGGTTGAGTGACAGCAAAAAGCTGATAGAAGCACGTTAATGGCTTCCTGGTAAAGGAAACTCGCAGGAATCAAAGGAGGTGATGATCAGAGAGAAGGCTACATAGAATAGAAATAGCGGAGGGTTGAATTTTTGAGAGCGACAAGGATGTAACAGCAGCAGTGAATGGCAGAAGTAGGGTAAAGGTGAAGATGGAGGAGAGTTCAATAAACTAGAGTTTCAGAAGAATCATCTAGGTATACTGGCGTCACTACAAGTTTGAGGGAGGAATGTATGAGAATAACTTGAAAGCCAATATAAGGTACAAGAAGCCATCTACCCCACATCGAGTCATTAAATTTTTTATTACTGAGCTTGCTTAAAAGCAAGATATACTGTTTTACATAGTGTTCCTATAAGAATGTAGAATTACAAAAGGAAATATCAATAACAGCTTCGTGCATAGAGGTTTATCTTTTATTTTAAAAATGTGTAATTCCACTTGTGCTACATTTCTTCAAGCATCTTCAGTATTACTTTCAACTATGCTTTGCAGAAACTTTCAGCCTTTTTAGAGTTCAAGTGGTTTCCACCTCATTTAATAGCTTGCTATGAATGACTCTGCTTTTCTAACCTGTTTAGTTAAAAACGGTCGCTGTTTATCCATTTCAGTTCTCAGGTGCTTGGTTTCTTGCTTCTGCAACTGCTTTTTGCTTGCCTCACCTCTCTGATGCTGTCAGCAATAGAGCAAGGCTAAAATGGAAAACATAGGGTTCACGTTCACACTCCTTTCCTTGAATCCTGGCATATTTCCAGCCACCTACTCCCTCATTGCAGTTCACAGTAATTTAATCTCACTCCACACAAAGTAAATTTTCCTGTTAAATTTAGAGTATATAAGATTAGAAATAAGAAGCACTATTAGAATTAAAAAGAAGAAAAATGTAGCCAATCCAATAAAAGAAACTGACACCTCAGAGGGCAAATAAGAAACTCACATCTTGTCCCATCGTGTTCTATTTCATTCCAAAACGAGGCCCTGCTGTAGATTTCACTTCTCCTTTTGGAAATAAGTTTTCCTTTTCAGAAGAAGAACAAATATATGATATGTGGTTGACAAGCTGCCCAATAACCCATAGCTATTTATTGTCAAGAATTCCATGCAAGGCAGTCTGACACAATCAATACTCAAGATTCCATGTACTGTAAGATTGACGAGCTTTTTTGGAGAGCTTCGTAAGAATACAGAGACGTGATGTTTAATATATGCAGCCAATTTCTATTCCTGGCAAGTCCCCCAATTACCTGGCTTGATCATTCTGCATTCTAAAACACACAGCAAACCCTCAAGAGTAATTCATTATAAATTCCTTAGCACAAATCAATACAATATATTTTAAAATATTCTGCTCTCTCATTTCTTAATTTTGCATAATTTAAAGCTATATAGTTCTATATTTGTCTGTCTACAAAATAATACCACTCTCTTCATGGCTTTTGCCCCACAACACCTCTCTGTGCTTTGCTTTCACATCTCATTTCTGACAGCTTTTTATCTTCCTTTCCTCTTTAGTATTATTAATGAGTCAAAATATGAATCTTTTCAATGAGTTTTTATATCTTTGCCCTTAGAAAATTTTATTCTGACAATAACGCCATGGCTTATTTTATATTTTCTGATTTAATTGTTTTCTTTTCCTCAGAAAATTACCTAAAATTAGAATATGAACTTCAATTCCATATGTTTACATGGAGAAGACTCATGGGTGCAAATAGGGCAATTGGAATTTGGATGAAATGATAAATCTGGAGGCTAAATATCCTCTTCTTAAGTTCTTGGCTTTGATAAAGAAGACGCATTTGTACTTTGAATAAAAGAGGGAAAGTCAATAAAATTAGAAATACTTATTTTCAAGGATACATGTCCATTCATATACTACATGCATTGATTTCTCTTCTTGTGTGGTGAGTAAGATAATGGCTGTATCCCAAGGGTTTTGACCCATTGTTGCCCCCACCCCAAAAAATCATGCAAAGAAGAACGGAGTCAATTTCTTAGTTTTTTGTCTTTCCTATTTAGCTACAGTTATTTATAAAACAGAATTTACTTCTCTACATAGTTAGAAAGGCAGATAACTAAAGAGCTACCTCTCACGACATCATTTGGTAAAAATATACTTTTGAACTCATGAATTAACTGCTATCAATGTCCTATAAGCTACCATAGAAAGGGAGGATCTTCTCTCTGAGCTGGAACACCTCAGCTTGATGGGGAAGAGAGAAGCCATTCATTCTCTATGTTAAATTTGACCTCTGGCTGAGACTTGCTAAAGCAGGAGCTGAATTCTACTTCTATATTTCCATTTTTTTTATGCGAAATATCTATAGTGTTCCAATTTTATTCTCTTTTCTTTGCAAACATATTTTGTATGAGTGAGGCAGAGAATAACAGTTTACACTTACCGGCAAAGAAGGGGTTATATCTGGTAATCTTAAGGTGTGAACTACTTTTAGAATGGAAAATGGTTTTGGTTCGACACAACTAAATTTTCTTTAGCTAGCAATATTTTATTTTATTTTGAGGCTATATATAGTTTTTAAATGTATATGCTTTGTCTTATAAATACATGTATCTCTCTTACTGATAAGTGGATTCTAGCTGTTTTTCTAATAAATCTATAGATATTTTAGAGCTAAAAACAAACCACTTATTCTCTATATATTTGCATGTAAATAGCAAACATTTATGGAAAACATTCAGTAGGATGCATTAAAAATGGTTATTTTATATTGTTTTAATATCTGAGTGATATAGTAGTTTAATTTTCAAAAGGTATGAATTTGTGTGAATTCCCATTAATTAAAATGTTGCTTGATGGATATACTTGTTAGCTATTGCTGCATAACAAAATACTCCACAATTTAGCAGCTTAAAACAATAAACATTTATTATCTCTCACAGTTTTTGAGGATCAGGAATGTGGGAGGGCTTAGCTGATGTTGGCCTCCCAGTGTCTTGTGGGAGTTCAGCCAAACTATGCACCAGTGGTGCAGTCATCTCAAGGCTGGTCTGGGCTGGTAGAACCTGTTTGCAAGCTCACTTACATGTCTCTTGGCAAGGCAACAAGTTCCTACATGGCTATTCTCCAGAGAGTTCAGTTCCTCTTCCCATCAGCCTCTCTGTAAGGCTTCTTGCAACATGGCAGCTGGCTTCCCCCAGAGGGAGGGAGGTGGAGAGGAGGGAGGAGGAAGAGAAAGATCCCAAGATAGAGACCACAGTCTTTTATAACCTAAGTTCAAAAGTAATATACTTTCATGAAAGTATACACTGTATATATAACAGTATAAAGCATACACTGTTGACCACATAGATTAACCACAGTACAGTGTGGGAGCGTACTGTTGACACAAATAATCCATAAACAACCTATAAATTACAACTGGGGTGAGTTTATTATAAGCCAACCCTGAGGACCATATAGTCTGAGAGAGTACTTTCACAAAGGAGTGGAGCACTCCAAAGATGTAAGGGTGTACAAAGTGGTTACATACTACCAAAGAGCATGTATCACATATGATTGGAACATCCCTTTTACAACAGTCGTGAGATTGCTTTGCCGGCACAGTGATTTGATGAACACAGCAGGTCAGTGGTCTCAAGGTGGGTGGTCACAAGGTGAGTGCAGCAGGTCAGCAACCAATGCTTAGTTTAGGGAGAGATTCTTACCCTTAAGGATATGCTGATGTGGGGGAAGTTACATGCTTATCTTTAAGGGCATTGTTCTTGTCTTTGGGACATAGTAAGTACTTAAAGCAGATATACAATGCATGCTCAATGGCCACATCTGGCCCTTTTGGAAAAAAGTTCAGGCCAAATTAGTTTTACACCAAATGGCTTCCTCATATACTACAATATCCTATTGCTTGACATTTTTTTTATCAGTACTACACAAGAGTGTAGATACCAGGAGGTTGGGATCCTGGGGCCACCTTGAAGTCTGGCTACTATAGTTAGATATATAGCTAAACATGTTTTATTTACTTTTAAAATTAGATAATTTTTACTTATCACAAAAAGCAGCAGAATAAAACTTTGTGTATGCGTGATTAAACAAATATTATAAATGGTGTTAAAACAACCTGTAAAATTAAAACATGTTTACAATGCAATAAGTGGATTTATTTAGCATGCAACAAATTTTAAACGATTATTAATGAGATATAAATAGTAATTGATGTGCTTCATTCACAATTTTAAATCTTGTTGTTTAATAAGAATTACTTATTTGAAATCATTAAAATAGAGTTACATAAAGTTCAGATTATTTACATGGATTCTAGATGATTCAAACTCTTTCTACCATGGGCAAATTGCAAATTTCATATTACTATGAATTCTAGAATTTACACTCCCTGTTGTAAAATTAGCAAGCTGCAATAAGGTTATAAATACACAAACACACACACACACACACAACCTCACGCACAGATGTCTGAAAAAGACCAAAGATGATGCAAGTACAATAATAGCATTCTGATATTTCATTCTAAAGATAAAAGGGGGAGGGAATTACCTATTGCTAGAAGAAAATATAAATGGTCACATTTTCCGTAATATTTACATTTGATCAACCCATTTTGGACAATACTTTATTTTTTGAAAAAGAGCACAATACACAAATTATGAATTGGATAAATATTTAAAAATCAATTTATTTTTCCTCCTTATTTTAATTCTGATAAAAAAATTAACTCTCACAGGAAAGATATTAAAGTATTAAATTTTTTCCATTGTAATCTTTGCAGGATCTTAGTCTCCAACTGTTTCATTCTACTCCTTTTGCTGAACACATATTGTCTAACCAATAGTCTGTAGGGGGTAATCTCGGTCTAGCTGCCTCCCCTGTGCCCTGACTTGGGGCTAATGAAATCTACATTTCCCCAGGGTATGAGTAGTTGGTTAGTTTTTATCCTCCCATACTCAGTGTGCATACTAGGATACACATAATAGACACAATAATACGTCACATACACACAGACACACATTAAGTATATGAAGTTCAGTGTCATAGCTATCTAATAAATTGCTTAATTTGCCATTAAGTAATAACCCCCCTTTTTCCCTAACAATTTTTTTTTATTAATAGCACAACAACATTCCTGCAATGACTTTCTTTCTCAATTAGCCTAGAATACCTTTTTCACACTTTTTATCTCAATCTTTCTGAGTTATATTTTAGTTACATTTTTGAATCACTTTTTTTACTGATTAAAAAAATATATAAGCTGAAATTTCTGTTTTAAAAACAAACTTGTTTTTTTTTTTCTATTATTCCTGTATTCCTGATTAGTTTGAAGTAATCTTGACTATATCATGTTGAGCTTTCTTTTTCCCATGCATTTTCTTCATCTCGGTTTTCTTTCTTCCATGGTATTAATTGTGTTTGTGTGTCTTTTTGACTTCTCTACTGGACATTTATATTCTCTTTCTATTTTCTAAGTTATCATTCTTAAATTTTTAACCATGTACATTTGATTCAACATGAATAAACCAAATTAATAGTTTATCCTCCTCCCTAAAAATCAAACACATTTAAGCTTATATTGTTGTCCATTATTTAAGTTCCACTTAAAAAAATGCTCTCAAATTTATCACTATTATATAGTCAATATTTATTTATGTGTAATCCGATGTTTACCAGTATATTTTGTTCAACATTTCTATTCATACTCCTGACTTCAATTTTCTAAGGTTCACATTTAATTAATTCTCTCTGTAATACATTATAAGTAGTAAACTGTGTCGGGGGAAGAGAGGGAATCTCCTTCTGCCCTTTTCCTTAAGGTTCTTATGGCTGGCCAAATAATTAACAAGACAGGTTAGCAGGAGAAAATAATACCAAGTTTAATAACATGTATACATGGGAGAAAGCAGGGACACTACGTTTCTCAACACAATAGCAGAGATTCTCGTCTTAAATACCATGTCCAACCAAAGACAAGGAGGATGTTGGGGGTGGGGGTGTTAGTTACAGGAGATTATCACTAAAGCACAGTAAACAAGAGTAAGGTTATTATGCAGATTTAAGGCCTCACCTTCCATTGATAAGTCTCTAGAAATGAGGTCATCCCCCCTCTTCCCAATACAGAGAGAGAGATACCTTTACAAATGGAGACTATCCTTGTAAATGATTGTCTGGTAACTCCTGGCAGGGCCATCCAGAGCATGTGGCCAGAGAGACAGAACTTCTGATAAGATGGGCTTGTTGGTGCCTTTTCTATTGTAACCTCTATCCTACATTATCTTTATAGCAGTCATGATAATAACTCCTTCCTGAAACAGATCTTTTGTTTTAAATTCTTTAGGCAGTTTGGGAGGGGAAACTCAAATATTCTTCCTGAGTTCTCTGAGTCCTTATTGTCTTCAGCTCGAAATAATCCGCATACCACAGTGGTGCTTCCTGGGGTAGCTTGCCCTGAGCACCATCAACTGTTTTCTGTTTGTTTCTGAAAATGTTTTTAATTTTTCCATCACACTTGCATAATATTTAGCTGAATGTATAATTTTCAGTTTACAATACCATCTCAGCAATTTCATGACTGGGATCCATTTTCTACGGGCTCTACTGCTAATGATAAAAGATCAGTTATCAGTCTAATTGTCATTACTGTTGTATATCTTTTGTCTCTGATTGTTTTTAATATTTTCTCTTCGCCTTTGACACTCTACCCTTTCCATAAAATATCTAAGAGAAGACGTGATTTTTTCTTTTACTAACTAAAGACATCTTAATTTCTTTATTCCTTTATACTGAATTGAAGATAATTTCTTCAAGTATATTTCCAGTTCACTTATTTGCTTTTCAGCTGTTTATTCAATCAAATGAGTTTTTAATTATAATAACTATATTTTTGGACATCTTACTAGTTTGTTTCTTTTTAAAGTTTGATTCTTGTTTTTCGTAATGTCGTATTCTTTTATTATGGCACGCTTTTCTTCCATTATCTCTTTCACAATTTTAAATCTACACAATTTATAGATGTATTCAGATTGCTTTACATTTATAGTTTTTGGGGCACCATCACTTGTGTTTCCAGCATCTCTTGACTTTCATTATCACTGTTATTGTTTCTAATGTGATGTAATTTTTTTGTTGTGAGCGTATCTTCAGATACTTTTCCTTGTCCCCATGCAGGCTCACCAACAAAGAGACTGCATCATCCAAGTTTACCCTCTCCCTGTGGACAGTATACATCCAATGACTGGCTTTTGCAGGGGTGCAAAAACCTGGACACTTTGCTACAATTTTGGTCAATTCTGAAGTGCTATCTCACCCTCTGTTGCAACTGCATCATGGTTCAACTTCTCCCTCAGTCCAATCTTGCTTCCTCCTTGCTACTGTCACCAACCAGGTGCCTGGAGAAACTCAAAGGTGGGTCTGGAAGTAATTAACTGTTTTTCCAAGTTGTTTCTTTTCCTTTTGTATGTTAAGGAGATGTAACCACCAACCATCCTGAAACTGACCAAGCAAGAAACTCAAGGGAGATGTAACCACCAACCATCCTGAAACTGACCAAGCCTCACCACAAGAGCTAAGCCCATGACCTTTGCCTTATTGTTAATGCTAAGATCTCTCCAGGAGGAGCTTAGCCCTCACTATGTGGAAGCATGTTCTCCAACTGAGCTTGTGCAAGTAAAGTACCCACCTCTCCCTTTTGAATATTCATTCCCCAACTTAAATAAAAGTTCCTCCTTCCCCTCCACCCCGCCAATGACTTTGGAGATGGTTCCTCATGGCCTCCTATTTGCTGCAAATACTCTTTACTTTGTCAGACAACTTCCAGTAGTGTAAAGTCTTATTTAACTCACCAGGAGGCAAGCCCACTTGGTTCAGTAACACTGCCTCTTAGGTGTTGTTCTTGAGAGCACTCCTCAATCCTTCTGCACACACATCCCACTTTGAAGGGTTTTTTCCTGAGTAATCTGATTTAAGATGTTGGAAAGCAGTTTGAGGAGGACAATCTTAAAATGGGCTTTTAGAACGGGATTATGGTTGGCCACATGGCAATGACATTGCCATCATTAGTGAGAGGTTGAGTGTGGGGAGCCCCTGTATGTTGTATCAGTGTAGTTGTAAAAACTTTCACAAGTAGTGAACTGTTATGGGGTATTGGTGGAAGGCAATATGCTGATGGGTGCAATATCTCAAGCATTTGAGAGTTTGGGGAGAAGTAAATTTAAATTTAAACTCTGTAAAATCATATGACTTTCACTATTGCCATCAATGCGATAGGGAGACATTGAGGAATGAGGGTAATTACTCAAGAATAAGGCAAAGTGTGAAAATCTCAACAGCCTCATTGGCAGTGTATAAAAAGACTTTCATCTCTGAAGCTGGATGTCAGGAAAATCAGGAACCAGACTTCATTATGCTTCATACAATGTTAAATTCTATACCCTTGAGTGTTGGTTTTGTCAAGATTAGGGACCTAGTTGAGAAAGAAGTGGATTCTGAGACTTCGGACGGGAACATAAGGGTTGATATGCTCAAGAACTTGAAAACTCAGATTTTCTAAACCCTCTGGACCAGTAGTAATAGCCCATTTGTCCCTAGTAAGATTAGTACTCCTCTCTTGCTAAAGAGCCTTCTTTTGTCTTATAAAACATGTGGCACTCCTCTCTGGATTTACAGCCACCTTCAATGCTGGCCACCGGACCAGTAACTAAGGTCAAATCACAATGTAACAGAGCCAGGAAAGTACTGGGCTTATTAAGTGAAGAGAGACACTATAAGCTGAAGTAGCTGTAGGACCAGCCAATGTGTACTGGTAGGAGCTAGAAGAGTGTATATGGGACAAGATCTTGAGAGCTAGAATATGGGGACGGAACATAAATTTGGATGAGAAAGAGTTTATTGATATGGAATTACTCTCTCCTACTACTG